TGTTGTTGATAACTGATTGCTCACTGCAGTTTAATTTGTCTTCTTTGTATGTTCATATCTTCTGTATCTGAGTAGCTCATTTTGCATGTCGGGTTATTTGTAGGAAGTTATCACATTTTGCTGGAAAAAAACCTTCGTCCCGCATATATCTTTTCTCAACTACTATGATTATATCCAATGGCTCCCCATTCAGTTGTGGGTAATACCGAAATGGAGAACAATACCGTCAATGTGCGATCACGTGAGAATGTCCAACTGGGCGAGTTCTCGATTGAAGAGTGCATTGAAAAACTGAAAGAGAACGCAGCCAAGTTCAGCAAGGAGAACACGTTCGAGTAAGCTTATCATCAGCTTTGGATAATCTTAGAATTAATGCTTCGAGGAAAGCTGGACTAGCTTTCATTATTTCGTAGAGAAGTTGAAATAAAGTTAGTTTGCTACAATGAGATGTTTACCTCTACAACGGGGCGAGCTGTATATATCTGGACATAAAATGTGACTTTAGGGTCAGGCTTGCACTGTTGTCATTGGATTATTTTCACTATAAAGGCGAATATTCGTACCGATGCGATCGCTTGATGCCATAGCCTCTCAAATTTAACAGGAGGCTATGTTTGTCCAGGCAGAATGTCTTTTGCAGCGATTATGACATGGGCTAAGAATGCCACTGCTACGATCATTTATAGCCACTTTATTGCAGGTGGCCACATAATATTACAACGACCGATTCGATTGATCTATTTGACAAAACCCTAATGCCTTGCAGATTGCCATATTCTAGACAGCACTTACACGAAAAATCAGAGGCGCGTGTGCAAATCAAACGCGAGCAGATAATGAGAATAGTGAATATCTAGTTTACAGGTAGAGCATTAAGTCGAGTTACTGTAGACATTCCATTATACAACATATAGGATTATTAACGGTCTAAATCGCTATTGATATAAGATCGTGGTTGGTATCGAGTATTGAGTGCAACTTGCTTCGGCCTATTTTAGAAAAAATATGTGAATTTGTAGCCGCCCATATCCTTCTCCTGGAAATTCTCGCTGGACAAAAAAAGGATTCTCCGCCAGCCACCAGCAGGACGAGAAAATCATGTCTAAATATTCCAACAGAGAGCCATGAATTTCCACATCACAACAATTAATTACAGATGATTTATTTACAAAAAAACTATGTACAATCAACCATAGATGCAGAAGCTACAGTCTGAGTGGCCAATGTTCATAACTCTAAAAATTCAATGCCATACTCACCACACCCACCGCAACCATAACGAAAGATGAGGATGCGAATGCACCGGCAGCGCTGTTATCGCCTTCAGTACTGGCAACCTGCTTGTTTCCGCTGACGCTACTGCTGGCCGAGATACTAGCTGGACCTTGTCCATCCTGTGCAGGGTCGGAAGCAGGCTGAACTCCGGTATTGCCTGTATCGGTGGATGCCTGACGACGGCGACGACGACGTGTGGCACTAGCCCCGTCAGTCTCATAAGATACGTCAACTAGCAAGCGGAGATCAAAGCCGGCGCTGTTACCCAACCCGGGGTTGGCGAACATAGCGTGCACAGCTTCATGGATCTTATACTGAACTAAGTAGGTTTGGCTGGCTGCACATAGACCCAATTCCGTGCAAGTAAGTCCTATCTCGTAGGCTGCGGGATCAGCTCTGGTGCTGGTGTAGTCAGTGCCTGGTGTCAATGTTCCTGTAATCTGAGGGTAGTTCTCGCCCAGGGCAAGTGAGGTATCGGCAGTTGTATCACTCCAGGCGCCAGGGCCGGCACTCTCTCGCGCCTGACTTTGCACAATGGTAACCTTGGTCACAGCCAGTCCACTGAAATCTACACGAGCGTATGCAAACTCATCATATTCCAAAGCAGCGATTGGCGTGTTACCTGCGGGCTTTGTGGTGTCTACGCTGGTGATAGGATCAGTTACAGTCCACGTGGTAGCGTCTTTCGCTCGATTTTCAGGATCTACAAAGATAAATCTATCAACAGCTACTGCGTTCTCGATGACAACTAGGTCTGCATTCGCACCACAGAAATTATCAGACGCCAGTGTGAACTCGATGGTAGTGTCTCTATTTTGTTGATTAATTGGACAATCAGCTTCAGCTAAGGTTTTGTAGCAATCAATCACAACATCTGAAATAGTGTAGGTACCGTCTAGCGTACAATCGCCGTGCACGAGTTGGATGTATGCGTCTTTGTTGCAACCGTTGTTGTTCATAGTGTAATCTCCTTCTACACAATCTGGCATATCAATGTAGGCCCCCCCGTTGTTACTATCACCGCAAGTTCCCGCACCTACATCCTCAGTGCACAGAAACGCCGCGTTGTTCGTGCCAACATTAGCAAGCACAGGATTCATAGTAAGCACCGAGTATGGAGTACTTAAGGCATATGTGAGAGTGAGATAGGAAGCTGAAGCTCCCTCATTGATGGCCTGGGCTGTAAGAGCTGTGTCGATCGAAAATGGCGAGAACACTTTGACCTCGGCGGTTGTGGCTGCGACTCGACTGAGAACAAGAATGCTTGTTGGGATGGTCACCTGTCCACTACGAGTCACAGAGTCTCCACCAACGTCTGTTGGTTCGGTATACTCGAAGATAATGTTTGACGAATAATCTGCATATCGGACGTCCATCTCATCGACATCATCTGATAAATTGTAATCAAATCCGCATAGAGCTCGGAGTGAAGTAATCTTCATCTCAAACACCATGCGATCGGTACAACCAGAGTCTTCACTAGTTTGGGTAAAGGCCTCCAGGTTAGCACCTGAAGCGCAGGTACCAACGGTAAAGGATGTGAATACACGATTGAGTCCAGCTGGCCAGTTGACCGTCCATCGAACGCTCTCGTCATTAACAAGAGTGTCAAGGGTGGTATGGTCTTGAGTCAGAGAAACGTCATTTGGGTTATCAACTGAACCTGTGATATCGGTACATTCGTCATATACTACAGAAGCCACCTGCGTAGAGCAAGTTGCGTCGCTAAATAGGGAATCACAAAGACACTTCTCACCAGCAATGGTGTTAAGTGTTAGCGAAGCGCCTGCTTCAGTACATACTGCTGATGTACTGCCAAGAATTGCTGCTCCGGCTACTAAGAGAGTAGGAAAGTAGTTCATTATTTTTGTTCCTGTTTGAAATGCACACTTGAAGTTGTGGATGCGAGATTTGAAGATATTAAGCTGTTATTTATAGGGTTTGATAATATTTACTTTTTTGAACGCCTGTATGTCTTGTGTGGAATAGGCCCGTGCATTCGATACATTAAGCGGAATTGTCATCGGCGTTTGTGCTCTGTAGACTTTAAAATTCTCCTCTCCAATCGCACCTATAGAGTAGTGTAGTTGACAAATAATTGACTACGCAGGGACATACACACACGAGGGAAGATATTGGATTGTCAACAAGCATGGCTGAAAGCAGTCAATCTCATTGTTTAAAATGGCACATTATTTGATTATTATATTTGTATACAATTGTGGGATTTGCGTGCAACCGAATATCAGTGGAAGATACGGAATGTGGAGTTGTTGACCATTTGTGCTGTGTCGTATATTTTTTAATTTAGCTGCATACGGGTGAAAAGGGGGAATATTTACGAGTACACTAAAAAATGTATATATTTGTTGTTTTCATATTTTGTTGAAAAAAGAGAAAAGAACAGAAAAGCCAAATATTCAAACAAAGACGAAGGCTAAATAATGATTTTGGTTGTTGGTTTTTAAAAATTAATGTAGTATGTACCATTTTGTTTTTTAAAATAAATACATATCTGTTTTTGTTGTTGTATATTTACTAATTTTACTTACATGTATTTACAAATATTTAAGTATTTATGGACGGATGTTCCAGTTTTCCAGAGTAATTTAGAGCTATTTCAAGGGCCAAAAATTCCAGAGTATTTTGTTTTTTAAAATAAATACATTATATTTAGTCTTCCTACTCTATATGTCCACCTCTTCAAAATGTCTACCTCTTTATATGTCCACTTTGTATTTGGGCCGAACCATATGTGAGTCAGGCCCTTTTGGGGCCGGTCCATCAACCTGCCCCTCTACCTTCATGATGGGGTCTCAACGCTCAGTGAGATTCCTCTCAGAGACTCGGACTCTACACTTCTGATGTCTGAGACTCTGAGTCTAATTAAGGCACTGAGGCCTGAGCCCGATCGTATTTTTATATGTAAATACCTCTGTGTATTAATTTTATTTATAACATTTTTAGCTTATAGCTTGTACTGTAGTATTAACTACAAAATATATTAATTTCTGATGCAAGACACTTCTCTAGGACTAGCGGTGATAATTATTGTGTGAAAGAACGCACGATCATGCCACCAACGTCAGGTGCACACAAATGCGCTGGTTGCGACCGCAATATGCATGCAATTTGTGGCGTGCACATTAGCGAAGGGTATGGCTCAATGGGAAACTGCTTGCAACAGGTAGTGCTAGTAGGCACCAGATTATCGTCGTGATTCTATGTTCTACCTTTCCACCTGAACCTGGTAGGGTGAACCTTACCTGAACCTGGTAGGGTGAACCTGACCTGAACCTGGTAGGGTGAACCTGACCTGAACCTGGTAGGGTGAACCTGACCCGAACGTATCTACCTCTTTATAATATTTTTCTTGCTAAAAACGGGAACTGGACATATAACGAGGTACATATGACTTTATTGAATCACTCTGTATTTACATACTGTATTTACTTTTTATAATCTCCGAAAGAGTAGCTGTAGAGTCCCTATTTCTTTTAATATGTTCCCCCCCCATTTTTAGGCCCTAAAGAGACCCCCAAGTGATCCTAAATGGATTAAAAAAAAATAGAGCATACTTTGGTGGTTACGTTATTGACGCTGAAAAGAAAAAGATATGATGAATTATAAAAAAGGCAGGGGGTACGAGGGGGGTTCCCTCAAGAAATATCATCCTCAGCTCACCCTGTGCGGATGTATTCAAAAGTTATTATCTACCCTCTTTGAAAAACCGGTTTCAGTCTCCGCGGCGTCCCAGCCGTATCTTATGTCAATTAAATTCGGTTTTCGTTACAAAAATAGTTTCTATTATTATTTTAGTAAAAATTCCTGAGTATTTTTGCTAGCCTACTAAATAGTTATGAAAGCTATGGTTTATTTATTTTTTGAATTTATACCAACAATAGTTACTCCTTGCGCTGAGGCCTGAGTTATGATTGACTGATTGTGGGTACATGATACAGAAATAAATACGCCCCTGGGGCCTGGGACCTGTAGCCCTGGGCCTGAACTTCTAAACCCTTGAAGTATGACGGGTCTAAAGCTCGAAGCCCTGAGCCCTGAGCCCTGAGGCCTGAGACCTGACCGCTTGAGCCTTCAACCGGTCAGCCCTCAACCCTCAGAGGCTCGGGCGCTCAGACCTGAGCCCTCAGCCCTCTCAGCGGCTCAGCCTCTAATGTATTTATTCATTATTGAATACTGTAATACTGTATGCATATTTCTGTGCTTCGCTTCTTTACAATAAATAAACATTTTGTTTAAAAAAGAAGATACGAAACCTGTCTCTGACTCTTGACTCTTGACTTTGAGTCTCTTGCATATTTGTTGAGAATTCTGAATTCTCAATTCTGTATATATTTTTATTTAAAAAAAAAAACATAAATACATACATAAATAGCCTACATATATATTATATATATAAAAAAAATAAAGGACAAAAAATGTTCACACACCACGGCAGTGAGTGCAGTGCAGAGTGCAAACTGCCAGTTTTTAGTCATAAGGGACTTTTAGTCATAAAATTTTAGTCATGTTTTTGGTCATAATTTCTAGTCAATGGTATTTAGGCTTAAGAGTAATGGCAGACTGCACCAGTGATAACACCACACTCCACCGATCCCTCGACAGTCGACAGTCGACACTCATCATTCGAGTCACTCCAACTCGACAGTCGACAGTCGACAGCTAACCTCAAACTGTTTCCGATTTTTTAAAACTTTTATATATCAAATAAATATACGTTTACGTCCAACTTTTATTCCATACAGTCTTTTCTATGTTTCTGGTGCAGTTCTCGGGTCTAAAAATTGAAGTGTGTACTGCTTTCAATACACGAACGAGTCCTATATAAACGATTTAGGTGGGTCTTTCTAATCACAATATAACCCTTATAACGTTTAAAAATGAATAAATATGCGTTTACGTTCAACTTCTATCCCGTACCCCAATAACGATACTCTCTATTTACAAGTAAATAGTAGAGAGTGCACTCACTGCGCTGGGAAAAACACTAAAAGTGTAAAATATCTCACTCCATGTAAAATTGTAAATACAGTGCACAGCGCACGCCTGGCACGGCTGCACTATGTACCTCAGACTCTAAGGACCATTTTGCAATTTCCACAACAGTCTTCAGGACTTCAGCTCCCAGACGTCCCAGTCCCAGGCTCCCAGGCCCCAGCGCAGCCCCTAGGGCAGTGAAGCCCTTGAGTTTCAACTTTCTCGAGCGTAGACTGAGAGTGCGAGAGAGAGAGAGAGAGAGAGAGGAGGAGTACGAGGACGGTACCTTCTACGACCGTCCCTTCCTACGTACGGTACCGTACCTACGGTACGGTTCCTACGAACCGGTACCCGTACGGTACGGTTCCACGAACGTCTCCTACGAACCG